CAAATAAATAAATAAAATCTTTAAAAAAAAAAAAACAACAATATAAGTGAAGGGGGCCTTTACTAAGAGACGGTTCTAGAGAAACTCGGGGGCGGGGGCGGGGGGGCGGCAGAGGAGAGGCGCACTGACCCTTGAAATGTTTGTTTTGTCCTCACAGCCTAGCCGCGCAGGGGATTGTAGTGAAGATTCATACTGTAAAGTCCAAGAAAATATACACTGATCTGATATGAAAAATCTGAAATCCGAAAGCTGGGCTGGCTTTACTGTCACTCCCCTTTCATCTGTCCTTAATTCCTCAGTTATTCAGGACAAGCAATTCCCAATGCCAGCTCCGTCTCCCTGCCCCAGGTTTAAGAGAGGCAGTGTCTATCTGTCTGTCACCACGGAGTCGTCAAACACAGCAAATTGTTAAAGGTGATTTAAAAAAAAAAAAAAAACACCCAGGAGAGCTGCCACCATGGTAACTGGGAGTGCAGCCCCTGAGACCCATCTGAAGAGTTAGAAGAACATACCTCTCAGCTTATACATCTCTCCGTTAGCGGAGTACACCACCAGCATGTGGGGAACTTCGTCACTCAGGGACACTATGGCTCCAGACAGAGACAGGGCTCCCCGAGGCTTCTGGTGTTTGCTTTGCTCATTCACAAAATACTGCAGGATGCCAGCCTCAAAATCCAGCACAAAGTACCTGTGCAGAGAAACACAGTGCATCATTCCTCCTTCTCCAGCCCACGCCTCACAGCAAAGGGGGAAAGTCATCCTTAAATCAACACCAAGGCTCTCAATTCAGGGAGGTGGAAACCCCAAGTCCCTCCTGGGCGCCCCACAGAAGTCAGCCCGTGAGTAAGGGGAGAGTCCTGGGTTCTTAAGCCAGAATGGTGCTTATAAGGGGCCACCAGGCTAGGCACAGGCTACGTCCATTCCGGATTTGGTGTAAGGCCCATTACCTCACCTGGTGCCCATGGAGATCACAGTAAGCCTCCAAATGACCCCCTTCCCCCCGCCCCCCCCAAAAAAGACAAGCAGATGCATTGGGTGACAGCCTCGGGTGACACACTCCGTAGGACTTCACAGAAACAGCTGGACCTTCTAAGCCTCTAAGAGAGGCCCTTTTACACGCAGGGAACAGCAAGCTGGGCCCTGAGCTTTCTACTGGTGGCATGGGTAACCCTAAGGAGCCCGAGCTCCAGGGGTCACCGGTCAGGGAACTGGGCGTGCTCACACAGCCACCTGGCACGCTCCAGCAGGCCCTTCGAGAACTCACTCTACTCTGGGAGGCCACAATGCCGTTGCAAGGTAAAAGCAGAGGGGCTGCAAGTTGCCTAAAGCACTCAAACAGGTCTTTGTAGCCACACATCTGGCCTGTTTACACGCTCAACCTATCGCCTAGGAAGTCACCCCAACAAACTCCCCTTCTGCACCAGGAAGAAAAGGTCTTCATCTGAGACTCAAGTTCTTCCTGCGGCCCAGAGGCTCACTACAGCCCCTGCTGGCTTTTCCGCCTTCTCGCTTTCTGTTCCACTCACACCAGCCTCTCCTCTCCACCCTCAGAGTCCCCAAGTCGTCTCCCACACCACAGGACCTTGGCTCATGCTGTTCCTCCCTGTCTGGAACAGTTACTCCAAGTGTGGCCCACAGACTGTTCCCAGTCTACAAGAGCTTTGCAATTTTGGCTTTGCTTCAACACCCGACTGCGTGATCAGAGGATCGGTCTCATTAAACACACATGGCACGTACAAGCTACACACTAGTCATGGATCAACCACAACGGAATTGAGGGGAGGAGGTGGGGGTCCTTCAGCACAGTTCGAAAAACACCTGCCCAGAACGCTATTCCTGCCACCTAGACTATGGCTTCTTTGCCTTCTTGCCATGTTAACTTCTCAGCCTTCGGGAACAACTCAAGGACCACCAACTTGAGAAACTTCCTGATACTCAACTATTCCTCCCACAAGCTCTCATAGCACCTTGAAATTGTCCTTCCCGGCCCAGCCCGGCCCCAATGGGAGTCTATACTTGCAGGAGCCTCTAATTCCACATCTAGTTTCCCCACTAGGACTCTACACCCTCGGGAGGCAGAAATATGTTCTCCTCCCAGTGCCCAGCACAGTGCCGACACTTCACTGATACTCAGTGAACTTTTGTTCAATGGATTAATGAAGCCGGGGTGGGGCGGGGAGAACCCCACCAAATTCCAGTTTCCAAGCCAGGCACCAAAGCTCCTGGGTCACTACTGCGAACTCACAGAGGCACTGCAAAAATAGTTTACATTTGGTGGCGCCTGGGTGGCTCAGTCGTTAAGCGTCTGCCTTCGGCTCAGGTCATGATCCCAGGGTCCTGGGATCGAGCACCGCATCGGGCTCTCTGCTCCGCTGGGAGCCTGCTTCTCCCTCTCCTACTCCCCCTGCTTGTGTTCCTTCTCTTGCTGTGTCTCTCTCTGTCAAATAAATAAAATCTTAAAAAAAAAAATAGTTTACGTTTTTGAGGGACATATGGCAATACTCAACACGGGTCAGACGCCGTGCATGTACTAACTCAGTTTGTTTTCACAGTTTCAATGTTAGATTGCACTACATTCCTTTGAACAACATCGTATCTCTGCAAAGTAGGGTTTTCAGCAGGTGCGGGGATAAGAAGCAAACATCAACGTGGAACAGGAAAAGAAGGCAGTGATATGCCCAATATGATTCCAAAGCTTGAAAGCCACACAGGGCCCGCAAGTGCATACATCCCATCCATAAGTAATTGCATTATTTAAACAGATTTTTTTCCACTTATGATTATTACTATTTTTTCAAATACCAAGGTGCTAAAACATAAATATGTATGAAGTTGTTTGGAACTAACCATTTAATAAATGAAACTTAGGGGTTTCTTCACAGTAGAAGCACCATGAACCAAGAACATTTACAACCCTCTGATCTAATTCATTCTCACAGCAACCCAAGAGTTACACATTGTCATTCCCAATTTACAGATATTCTGAGACCCAAAGAAACTCACAATCCAAGGGCAAGGCTTGGTTTGCACCAGCAATCATAAACTCCTCTTTGATTGTCATGCCAGTCCTCCCTTGGCCCTTTCTCCAAGTCACCTCTCAAGTCACCTCTCCTGGACTCTCTTAGGAACTTTATTCTCCCCGCCTTCCTGTTCCAACAGAGCTAACCCAGCAAGCTGGAAGCTCCCTTCCCAGAAGCAGAGGTGCCCACCCCCGCTCCCCTCCCACAGAGCAGGGTGCCTGACACCCCAGGACCCAGTCCTCCAGAACTCCAATTCCTCTAAGAAATCTTCCACTTGTAATTATTTTTAACATTCTGGCCAAGATTGTTTATCTATCTTACCCGTCTCCTTCCCTCCCATACCTTAGGCCAGGATAATAAAGATAGACTTCTGGTTTTCATTATTAGCATGGATAAATCAAGACACAGAAATGCATCACAGACAGGACTATTCCAAATTAAAGCTCCTACTCCAGCAGTATCAACATCACCTGGGAGCTTCTTTGAAATGTAAATTCTTGGGCCCCACTCAAGACCTGCTGAATCTGAAACTCTGCGGGAGGAACCCAGAAAGCTGTGTTTTCTGCTTCCAGGTGATTCTGATGCAGCTCAAGGTGGAGGGGCACTGGCCTATAAGCTTCCTTCCTCTTCCAGGAGACACCGCCAGAATATATTCTCCCAGATTCCCTTACAGTTTGGGTGTCGCCATTTGAGTTTTAGCCAATAGGATGTGAGGAAAAGCAATGCAGTCTTGACCCATAATACACACATTCTCTCTCTCCCTCCCACATACATACACACCCACTCTTACACACTCACTTTCTCTCTCATACACACACACACACACACACACACACAACCTGCAGGTGAACTTGGGAACCCCGCAACAATTATGGCAAAGAGGTAAGGGACCTGGGTCGCCGAATCACCACCTGGAAGAATCACCTGCTAAGGAGCACCCACATCAGGCTGGTATAGGAATAAGAAAGTTCTGCTGAATTAGGCCATTAAGATCAAGATGTGTTACAGCAGTTAGCCTTACAAATTCACAAAAAAGTCTTTATTTCTATTTTCATGTCCTACTTAAATTTTTTTAAGATTTTATTTTTGAGTGATCTCCACACCCAACATGGGGCTCAAACCCACAACCCTGAGATCAAGAGTCACATGCTCCACTGACTAAGCCCTGTCCTACTTAAAATTTGCTCTGACTCGGGGACGCCTGGGTGGCTCAGTCGCTTAAGCATCTGCCTTTGGCTCAGGTCCTGATCCCAGGGTCCTGGGATTGAGTCACGCATCGGGCTCCCTGCTCAGCGGAGAGCCTGCTTCTCCCTCTGCCTGTGGCTTCCCCTGCTTGTGCTTGCTCTCCCTCTCTCTCTGACAAATAAACTTTAAAAAAAAAAAAAAAAAAAAAACTTCTTAAAAAAAAAAAAAAGAATGTGCCCTGACTCCTTTCTGTGTGGCGAAAACCAAACTCCTTCTTTGACAAGAGAGCAGGGTAATTTCTGAGCTGCCAATGATCGAATTATTTAAGTGCTGACCCTGCCTTCTCCTTAGGAGTAACTGTTTTCAACTTGACCTAGATCGAATGTCATTGTGACCGTAGCCATGCAGACACACTCCTGGCAAGGCAGAGCACTAACAGTAATACTCCTTACAAGTGTAGGGAAGGACACTTGGCTCCAACAGCAGCACTTCGTGTCCTCCCCCTCCGCCCCCCCGCCCAGACCAAAGCTGCAGCATCCCTCGTAGATAAACATGCCCACTTTCCTGGGGGAAGCAGAAAAGGAGGGGGATCTGAATAGGCTTCAAGGAAAAGGCATATGCCATTGGTCGGAAGGGAGGAAGGGTTTGACATCTTTCTCCTTATTGCTTCTACCAACTCCTCATCTGTCAGCTTTCCTTGCTCCTAGAGGCAGCTTCCCAAAAGCATCCTGTTTAAACAACTCACTGTATATTTGCAAAGACATTATTCAGAATCTGGTGCAAAGAAATGAATTGAAAGTTGTTCTTTTGCCCAATAGGGATGACAGAATAACCAAATGATGTCCCATTATGCAGGATATGGGGACGCATTAATGATTTTTCACAACACGTATTTCAAACTTACATCGTAATTTTAACCTGTCACAGATGGGAAAAAAAATACTTCCACTGCGTCCAAAATAGCTTAAATGCAAATACGCAGGTTTGAATCATGTGCACTAAGGAAGATCATCAATAATTTACTCCCTTCTAAAAACAATTAGAAACTACCGTGTTTGGAGAGAGGGGATGGAGTACCAGCAGATTAAAAACTGTAGCCAACTCAACAAAGTGTTCCTTCAGGAGGGCCTCTGAAAGGTAAGTTAGCTTGTGTCACAGAAGGTGAAAGCTATCCATACGGCATTAAGGAGGGCAATCCTGGCTGGTCACATCCCCTGGGAGGAAGGAAATTAAATTTGGTTTCCCACAGGGTCATGGCTCTGTCAGGTACTGCTGTTCGGAGCTTAGAGCGATATCTGAAAGTCCTATTTAGCTTTCATGCTAAATAGGAAAAGTTAACCATATTTCTAAATGAGACTTCACAAGCCCAAGTGAAATTGCTAGATAAAACCCTAAAACATTCTTACAGGTCTTTCCTTCTGGAGAAATGATTAAGACAAACCTAATTCCTACTCTTTTTTTTTTTTTTTAGTTAGTGTCTTCA